TCCAAAATCGACTTGGTTAAAGCGTATAACCAAATCCCGATGGCAACGGAAGATATCCCGAAAACGGCTATCATTACGCCTTTCGGACTTTTCGAATTTCTACGTATGCCATTCGGCCTCCGGAATGCGGCCCAAACATTCCAACGCTTCATCAACGAAGTATTTCGCGGTCTCGACTTTGTATACTCATACTTAGACGACTGCCTCATTGCCAGTCCAGATAAGGAAACTCACCTTAGACACTTGGACTTGGCATTTGAAAGGTTACGCCAACATGGTGTTACCATCAATATACAGAAGTGTCAAATAGGCGTTGACTCACTCGATTTTCTGGGTCACACTATTGACTGTCAGGGCATTCGCTCACTGGCTACTAAAGTCGAAGCAATACTGAACTTTCCCGAGCCAAAGACAGTAAAATGCCTTCGCACTTTTAACGGCTTGGTAAGTTATTACCGACGGTTTATTCCTAATTGTGCTTCTCTAATTCAGCCATTAACCGATCTCCTTCGAGGGAACAACAAGGCTATCGAACTCGACACGTCTGCTCGACATGCTTTTATTCAGGTAAAGAAAGCTATTGCGGATGCCACCCTTCTAATGTATCAGGATCCAACAGCACCTTTGAGTATCTCGGTTGATGCATCAGACACTGCAATCGGCGCAGTTCTGCAACAACTAGTTAACAACGAGTGGCAACCACTCGCCTTTTTCTCGAGGCGCCTTCAAGTAGCTGAAACGAAGTACAGCACATTCGGAAAGGAACTTCTAGCTATGTACTGTGCTATACGTCATTTTCGACATTCAGTTGAGGGTCGTGAATTCATCATTTTCACTGACCACAAACCTCTGACGTACTCTCTGAACTCAACTTCAGATAAGTATTCACCCAGGGAATCGCGACAACTAGATTACGTTTCACAGTTTTCATCAGATATTCGCCATGTTTCCGGAGTGAACAACACTGTGGCAGATGCCTTGTCACGTATTTGTTCTTTCACCCAAATCGATGGCATAGACCTTGTAAAACTGGCTCGTCTTCAAAAAGAAGATGTTGAGCTTCAGCGTGAGTTGTCGAAAACAACTCTACAATTAGCCAAGAAACCCTTAGGTATAGGAAAGGATACTATTCTGTGTGACATTTCCACTAGTGCTCCTCGACCCATCGTGCCTAAAAGTTATCGCCGTAACGTCTTCAATACGTTGCATGGCTTATCCCATCCAGGTATTCGAACTACTGTCAAGCTCGTAACTAGCCGGTTTTGTTGGCCTGGTATGAACAAAGAAGTAAGGGAATGGGCGCAGACGTGCTTAGCTTGCCAAAAGTGCAAAGTAATAAGACACACTAAAAGCCCCCTTGGCACTTTTCTTATCCCTGATGCCCGTTTCGAACACGTCCATATAGATTTAGTTGGCCCCCTTCCAGAATCTCATGGATACACCTATATGTTAACCTGCATCGATCGCTTCACACGGTGGCCTGAAGCAGTACCCATCAAGGATATATCTGCTGAAACTGTCGCACGCGTCTTTGTGGAGAGATGGATCGCAAACTTTGGATGCCCATCTTCCATAACAACTGATCGTGGGCGGCAATTCGAAAGCGGTTTATTCTTCGCTTTGACTAAAATCCTTGGTTGCATGCGTTTTCGAACGACAGCCTACCATCCTCAAGCGAATGGTATGGTAGAACGTCTGCACAGACAGTTGAAAGCTGGTTTATCAGCTGCAAATAACACCCACTGGACTGAATCCCTTCCGTTAGTTCTCCTAGGGATACGAAACGCCTTAAAAACCGATGCTGGTTGTACTACCTCTGAGCTAGTATATGGCACAACACTACGACTGCCAGGTGAGTTTGTTTCTCCCTCGAGCTTCCCACCAGCGGTAG